TGTCTCGCAAAGATATCCGATCGCGCGACAGTCTAAGCGTACCAGATCATATCCGAGTACTATAACTATACTCACAACCGATCAATTCTATTCAATTCAGTTTGGATGACAGCTACCTCTCATCTCTGTGTAAAGATAAAAATTTCTGAATCTCTATTTTCACATTTAATCACTAGAACTAGTTCTGAAATATCAAAAACTATATATGGAGATCGGATTTATTGTCGTTGTACGAATCTCATCTCAAAGCGTAGCAGAACGTAGAAATAAATCACAAATACAGACTTCAAATTCTATTAAAAGAATTTCAAATTGTCTTATAAGATCCGGTTATAAAACCGTATTACGTTTGAAAATAAGAACTGAGATATTCGACAGAAATGCGACTATAAATATAAACCTAGAAGATTCTGGCAAAGAGCCAAAGCTCTATCAATTGTATCGAAATTCTAAAAATGTGTGTGCCAACTTCGCACAGGTGACTACATCATTGAATAAAAATTTCGGATCGTCAGCTTTCTCTGTGCTATCGTTTTCGCAATCATTTTACTTAATCGTGACGAAGTGCTGCGATAGGTAGGTAGGTAGGTATACTGCTCGTTAATCAGAAGGCGAGTACAAAGCAAATTCCTAAATGGTGCGCTTGGCGTGCATTAATCATAATGCGGTAAACGTGGGTGCGAGGGTCGCTATACGACGAATGCTTGAAACGTAATATTTTCTTTAAAAGCGGTAAACAAAACTCCATGTTTATTGTTGAATGCGCAACGACATTGTCGCGTGTTAGAAATGGAGTTTCCATGACTCAACGATATCAGATAGTGTGAAGAGACGCGAAGTGAAACAATGTCACATGCTATGCGAGGATGTTACGCTGTCGTTTCACAGACGCGTGGAAACGCTTTACGAAGCGGAACTACGTTTCCATCCCGCGAAAAGCGGGCAGATGGTTCGTTTGCCTTTACGTGGGATTTCGATTATCGCGATTACAAAGTTAGATCGGTAAAAGCGAACGGTAGGTCCGTGCGGACGTGAGGTATTATTACCCAGTTATGTATTGTCCTTTCCGTAGTAAAAAAAATCTACTCGCAGCTTTTGCCGTTCCATCCTTTCCTTACTTTAAAGAAACAACGGTTCGAGAAGATAAATGCGCTCGTTTTCTGTAGCTCGACTTCGAGGAAGTCTTAATGCGAAGAACCGCCATTTCTTTAGAGTTTTTGCACCGATTTCTGGTTCCCTTGGTTGGTTACTCGGGAACCATCTTATCTTTAGTTCGCCCGTATTTTATGAAATCCTAAAGCATGATATAATATCTCTGCTTCTAAACGAGAAGTGATAGATACCGAGCGGGCTTTAGGTACCCCGCTTTGGGACCATATTTAAGCTATTATCTTTTTTTTATTGCAGTATAAAATTTTTTAATCCTTCATAATCGAAATTTTATTAATATTAAATATAAGATAGAAAATCATTTTGTTTCATTACATGATAATTAAATTATGAACATTGCTACGCCTGCAGTAATTAATAGCCGAAAAATATTAATCCAATAATTATATTAAATAATATGTAATGAAATAATTGCAAAAGTTTTCCGATAACGTGTATCATTATTATTCTGCAAAATTATAAAATACACAAAATTTATGTGTGCTTGCGCGCGCGTTATCCACATTGAAATGTCAATATTGGCTGACAGAATTGCGAGGTATGGACCTCGTGAAATCGCCAGTACCGCGCGCGGAAAATTTATCGAATTACATTCTATACTTTCGGAACTGGAATACCTTGTATTTCTTGTTCGACCGAAAGGGGACACAGCGTCTTGCTACGACAAATGCTCTCGTTTACCAAAGCTTTAACGTCGGGTCAAAGGTCTGGTTCGCGTCTGTACAAAACTTTTCACCCTCCTTTATTCTCTTTATTTTTTTGCTGGAGACCACTGTCAAACACAAAGTTCCTCGATACGGTAACTCGGGCAGCTCGTCGCGATACAGCTACCGATATTCTTGGCGGAAAATATGACAGGTTGGATATTTACGAACGTCTGTTGGCGTCGACAAGAAGACTTCGAAATAATCTTGTCTACTAAAGCGAATATCTATATTATACAATACAGTGCATGATTAGTTTATATTTCAATTTGAAATAAAAAATATACAATATTTTTTGTGTCACTTTTAAAATAAAGGATAAAACAATATGTTATTGTTTATTATAATATTATTTAATTATGCCAATTTGCGTTTTTTCTTTTCATACTATATTAATGATGTGTTTTAAATAATAAATATAAAATTAAAATGACATTTAAAAAATTTTGTAATATGTTTATATTAACTTTTTTATTTTCGATAAAGAAATGTTTTTTTACTTTTGCGTCTACTAAAAATTTAATTTAATTTTAATAGATTTGTTCTGTTATCTCTACAAAACGTGTCATCCATAAGAAAGCAAATTTGCACTATCAATGGTCGAGTTGCTCCCATCTTTTTCTCATCTTCTATACTCTCTCTGACACTGTCGCGGCACTACATCTGATTCGAATACATCCTTGCTTCGTTCTCGCCTCGCCTGTTCCGGTGCAAAGACTCGAGTCTTTGACGGTTGCAACGCGCAAATATGTGATGGAACGTGAACATGCCTGTAAAGGAGACCGATTTAAATTCCACGAGTGCAACATTTAACGGCGTTCCCATTTTCGTTTATCTCGTGAGCAGACTCTCTTCACTGCAACACGATGACGATCGCGACCTTGTGCATTAATATACCTTCACCGATATTACTGTTTTCGACCGATATTCATAGTCGATGCGCTTATATTTAAGACCGTTTAAATGTAGTCTCTTAAAATGACATATAAGTCAATCACAGAACCGTTTTATCTTACGATTACTTAAGACGATCTTAAAATAAAAATTAGTTAAGAATACCCGCCGGGTCTTCTTTTTAGGACAAAAGCACAGATAAAATATCGGTCGACTTTTGTATCATTGTGGAAAGTCCTTTGCAATGTTTATAACTGCACACAAGAGTATGACGCTTTTCATTGTTTTCCATAAACGACACAACAGTCAACCGACGACACTTTTAGTCTACAATGTCATCTTGTCCAAACTAAAACCTCACGATAAAGTTGCATTTTTCAATTAATTTCATATGGGATCTCTGAATTATAATAGACTGGCTCTATATTTCTTATATAAATGCATAAGTGTTTATATATTCGACCAATTGTTTTGAAACTTCTTATGGAGGAAAAAAGGAAACCGACGAGAGAATGATGTGCAATTTCACTGGTGAAAGCACAATGGGAGTAAAGGCACGTTAATTGGCGTTCATCTGGAAAAGGTTTACCAACGGTTGGAGTGTCTGCAAGCTCGTAGCAAGGACGTGTGAAATGTCGGCGAGTCAGAAGGGCTAGGGGAGCTAATTACCCCGCAGGAAAAATTCCTTGGCACATGCCGGCCAACGGCGAATCCCGAGGTGACGCGTATTCGCCCGTTGGCGTTTTCATAACTTTTCAACAGGATGTTAATTGGATTCCTTTTTCTCTTCTTGACCTCTCTCTCTCTCTCTCTTTCTCGCCTGTTGTCATATATGCTTGCTCGATGGTAGCTTACTTTATTTCGAATTTATTACGTTGCTTAATTGCTGTTTTACGATTCTTTTGTTGGCGCGCTGAAAATGCCCGTCACGTCGAACGACAACGAGAAACGTGGTTCAGAAGTAAGGCGTAATATTAAAAAGTAATTTGAAAAAAAAAAAGTTTCAAAAATCGCTCTAATTAAAATTTTTGCTAGGGCTTATGGTTTAACTTCAAGTAGACAAGATGACATTTTAAATCCATCCATTTTAATTAAACTTTTTTATACAAAAAAAATGATAATCAACATTTTGTTAAAACGTTCGCGAAGTCAAATTTTATAAATAATGAAGAATAAAAGTAATTGTAACATCCAATAATGATTTCAAATTATATATTATGCACATATATCTTCTTGATATGTATTATATGTTCGATAAATCGGATTTTATCAGATCGCAAGTTATAAAAGCGACAAATATGTAATTATCGCCGATGCATTGGATTACAACCTGTTGGTCACTTGCCATATTTTCTCAAACAATCAAATAGCTTTAATACTAGTACAGGTTCTTTTCGGCGACCTCGGGCAATGAGTCTCAAGTTGATCCTTATAACTCCCGCCTTAAGCACTCGCAATACCTTACGATGGTTTTATAAGAGTAAAGTTGAGAAAGTACGGCGACACGTAACTTTAAGGCGGTACTTATACGAAGCTCGTAAAACTTTTGTGTCATTTTTAGCATAATCGTAATATACGTCGAGTAGTCTGTGTTCGAGCGGCTAATTAGATATTAATGAAAAAGGTAATTATGTACAGGAAGAAGCTCTGGCAAAGTTACAATTGGCTCCAGCTACTTGGAACAATCTTTCTGAACATTTTCTCGTTACTACGTATAAGAATAAGGGAATTGAGCAGGGAGTTTCTGCGACATTGCATTTTAGATAATAACGCAAATCCAAGATGGAAATTACCAAATTCACGTCTAGCTCGTTCCAACCGCAATACACGCAATAATGTTTATTGTATATGCAGTTGCAAAACCCTTCCAATTTCCATCTTGGATTTACATTACGATCCATTGTAAAACGTGACTATATGTAAACTTCTTCATGTCTGAAAGAGCGTGTAATTTAAATGAAGCCATTCTGCCTAATTTATTGGTTAAACTTAATTGAATAACAAGAGGAATCGCGTGTCATCAATCATATTACTTTGATAATTACGCTAAATTACTTAGGACAACGTTACAATTTGAGAACAACGTTATGTATTTGAGAAATGGCTTTTTAAGTTTTAATAAATTTTCTTCCTCACGTATATACATATGTAGTATATTAAATATATATGCTATATAAAAATATTACATATTTATTTTTTATCAAGCAAATGAATAACTCAAATAAATCTTACCAATAACTGTTAAATTGACTTTGGAGTTTCTCGTCTGGCCAATTTGAAAATCGACGCGACACCTGTAGATACCGGCGTCCTCTTCTCTTGTATTTTCGACACCTAGTTGCGCCGGTTGCTTGTCCAGCATGAAATAGGCGCGATTCGAGAATACACTGTTGTCCGACCATCTTTCAGCGACACCAAACTCCCGGTTCCTGGCGTCGATACTGTAACAAAAAATCGTATCAATAATAAATGGACGAGTCAGGTATTGACGATGTGAACAATTTTGCGTTAATCTTCTTTAGAAAATGCACAATCTACCTCTATATAGAGGAATACTTATAATGAATGCGTATTCGTTTCTCTTCTCTCGTTTTTAGATAAAAGGGGGCTTATGATATTAAGCTGTATCAAAAGTATTTTAGTATAGAGTATTTGATCGTATTAATGTCGCTAAATTATGAATTCTCTCACCTTTTGATATTACATATTAAAATGTACGTGTAAATGAATTTAGTATGCAATAATAATGATGATAATGCGATAATTTCTGTTTCAGAGATGCGAATCGGAAGATTAAATTGTGTTGGAATTAAAAAGTGCGAATAAAATTCCATTCATCAAGATAAATGCTTTTGTAACGTCATTAAAAAATATAGGTCATGCAAAATGTTATATTATTACGTACATTGCATTTTGCAAGAATATTTTATGATGCAGTCAACCATTTACAGTCATGTGAATAATCCGACAGACAGATTTTCGAAATGCTATATTATGTAGTGTACGGTATGTGTCATCTACAATAATAAGCACATGAATGAAAACATCTAAAAAATGGGCTCGCTGAATTATAGTGAGAATAATTTCATGGTAGATAAAATATTCGTTACGGGAATTGTTGTAAATATAAAACGCGGTAAATGTTTGCACCGAGGAAACGGACTGCAAAACCGATTGTTTCAGTATTCCCGTAAAACAAAGATTTTTCCCGTCGTCGCAATGTCGCGTTGTCGGTTTTGCGCCGACCTGCTAACTTTTCTCTTTCTTCGCGCGATCCCGTCATACAGCGAGGTTTTCGCGTTTTTGTCGCGAGATCTTATTTTTTTATCGGACGAGCTTCGCTCAAAGCTATTTGATTCGATATAAGGAGGATATTTAAAACGGCGTAAAAAGTTCTATAAAGACGCCGGATGTCTGACGAAGGCGAAGCGAAGACATTAAAGACACTGAACAGAGTGTTTTACAATATCTTTGCGCGCTTCTTCTATTTTTACCTTCTTAATGATAATTTTTTTGACACTTTCATCGTTAATCTTTCTTAAAAGAAGATGACGCGACATTTATAGTTTCTAAATAGATATTAAAAGTAAAGAACTTCCGATGAATTAAGCTCTAGTAAAGATAAGAGATAACAAAATCATTCTTCAATTAATTTTAAATGGCCCCCTACTTCAAAACAAAGTCAAATTAAAGTTAGCTATAAAAATATATGTATTTAAAATATGCAATATAAATACACAAAAATAAATATATTTTTAGAGATGAATGATATATTTTTAACGAGAAAATCTATCATCCTATATCAGGCCGCTCATTCAATCCTGACGTTTTGAATATCGAAACTTTGGCATCGAAGGCATTAAAAAAATTGCAAAACGGATTTCGGCTGCCATTTTAACGGTTTCCCATCAGTAACGTGGGCCGCTACATGTACTCGTGTTGCATTCGTCATTTATTAATTGAACAAGTCGATGCTCAATTTTAAAAGATGTTTGTCGCGGTTTGGATAGTGATTTTAACGGCAGGCGTCATTATTGCGGTAATTTCGATTAATGTTTATGAGTGTTGTCCCACCGCGACCGGCAGCCGTGGACGAATTCATCAATCCACACGAAGGAATAAATTAAAATCCACGAGGGATTTCCCACTACATAGTTTAAATCGCATTCTAAACCAGGCGCGTTATCGCGGCCGTTGTAATTGGCACATAATTAAAGTTCCTCGGCTGATCATTATATACGGGTAATCATTATTTCAAGCCGTGAATGCTATCAAATTGTAATAATTATACTGCTATAATTGATTTCATTTCACGGCGATTGCGTTTCTCTTTCGCCGTTAATTACCGCCTAATGATTTACATGATGTGACACGGATTGCAATGCAGTTTTTAAATAAAATTTCTCAAATTCTGCTGATCTGCGCGATTAATGCGAATGTTATTAACATTCTGGGCTGCAAATCGGATCCGGGGTATCGTTCGTATTCCCCTCTCGTTCGATTGTTATTGTTTGGGGAAAATGCAAGTATTTCGCGACTTAACGTCGCGAATAAACGCGTATCCGTGCGGCATTCGAACGAACGAATCCGCTTAAAACGCCGTTGCTATTTTTCCTGTTTTTTAAGATCCGTTACGCTACCGCGTGACGAGCTTCTCGGTACGTGTATCGTAACGTTTGAAAAGGATTTTAAAATCGCGAGCTGAGGACACTCCAGCGTCAGCCGGGTTTCTGCTTTTCTATGAAAGGAAGCGGATAATGGTGTAGGCGGAGGCGAGAGTTGCATGTTAAGCACACCGTTAAGTGCTTAACCATAATACAGCCACTGCTAATCTGCGTTGCAGATAGAGAGGCTTGTTTATGAAAAATGCAATACAATTCGTCGGCGTACAATAATTTTAATAAAAAGCGAGGATCTAAAATAGAGTTAGGATTTGCCGAAGGATTAACGAGAGCTGCGGGATGAATTAGTTATTTGTACCTTCCGCTCGCTTTGCGATTTTCGTTCGTAAATTCTTTCTATATCTGATTACGATTCGTTCTCAATTTTTTAAAAACTAAGCTACTTACTGTTGGCCATTTTCATTCTGCTCTTTGCATGTGCGATGACGAATTTTTCATATTAACGCATTTATTTGTAAATCCTCAATATCAGAGCCGAGACACTAGAGCGTGGCTAACTGGCCGCATGTACAAGATTCAAGCCCTGCAAACTCAAAGTTACATGTAACGTATTTGTTAGTTGTAATTTCCTACTTAACAATATAATTGTATATAATACGTATAATACACATGTTGTATTACTGCAGTTATATTATTGAGTAGGAAATTATAAGTTACATTACATGTATCTTATGGTGTTTGCTGAGAAAGGATGCGAGAATATAACAATATCTATATATTTCAATTTATTTTTATACTGACTAATATTATTTCTTTCTTGTTATACTTTACATGCCATAAAGAAAAATTTTTTTACTAAGAAGCGCATTTTTTCTTTTACTTCGAATGCCGATCTATACTTATTATTCTGTTGCAGATCTGTACATCAAATTATCAATACTGAAACATCACGTTTCGATTGTTTGAATTCGCGAAATCGATTCATAGAAGAGCACTTGTATTATCGACGCGATCACAATTCGTACGGGCGTATTTCAAAGAGGAGTACGATGAAAAATACAACGATCGTTCTCTGTTCGATGTCGTCAATGCCAAGTCGCGAAGCGAGATTCGATCTCAACGGGAAATACACGTGCGAAACGATCCTAACTTCGAAACGTCCGGAGCGTGACAATAGTGCCATGAGACTTGTTCGAAACGACTGTGCGAGTCAAGGAGAGAAACAAGCGTGTTGGTCGGGCGAAGGACGCGAGCGTCAAAACAAAGGCGACTGCTCCTGTCTTCAACTTGTTGTCATCTTGGTGAAAACGATTGATTGATCTCTCACTTTAATGGCATTATCCAAATTATTGATAACAGTTTGCAATATTCAATTTACAATATCTTGTCCATTGATACTTTCTCTTGCCGTAGTAGTTTGTAATTCTTTATAATGATTACTTAATTAAAATTTTATATTTAATATAAAATTTTGAGTATCGAACAATTTTAAACATCGAACAATTTATTCGAGAAATCCATTAACACGTTGTTTACTTAACGAGTTTTGAGTGCCTTACTTGCTGTATACGTTATAGTATAATATTTCATTATCAGAAACATAACGATGAAATAATGTGTAATATGATATATTGAATGGCGCATTCGTTATGGCGAGAATGACATAAATAGTTAAATAATAATGATTATCTAGTTATTTGTGTTATTTGCTATTGAATATTCTTTATGTATCAGCCTTGTGTAATCATATACGTGTATCACAATATTTTATCTATTCATGATAGTAAAAATTATTATTAAATTGTGGCGTGCAAATAGTACACACAAAGAAAAATTTGTCAACACACATATACATACATTCTTTTGAATATTCATAAAATATGGTTGGTCCAAGAAATGACTATAAATTAAATTATAGAAATTTCAACCATTTTTATAATAATAATTATGATTATTTTCAATTGTCAATTATATATATATATATTTATTGATAAAACTATATTGTATAGCTTTATCAACAAATATATATAGTTATTACAATATTATAGTAATAATAATTATAATTCACATTATAGCAGTAATAACAATAATAATAATAAATAATAATAATAATAGTAATACGTAATTATATAGTCATAAATATACAAAATTTTTCTCTCAGTATAAAACACGCAAAATTCGCTAAACAAATAACGTGTTAATGAATATCCCAAATAAATTATTGGCGAATATATATAATTTTCAATCTTATCACTCCCAAGTTCGATACTGAATTAAGATACTTTCAACACGCGACGGAAATAATTAACTCCATTGTCGCGTATGCAAATTAGCAACAATCTCGAGATAAGGAGCAATCTGTTTGTTTTCCACATAGTTCACGTAGTTTATGGAGTACGTGAGGGAAAATTAAAATCGCGCCGCGATAGGGAAATGCCGGGCGGACGCAATTTTATTGTCCACTGGGATTAACTTGGTTAAGACGTCGGCGTTTACGCGTCGATGAAACTGTCGCGAAATTTCGTTATCTACGAGCGCGTTCATCGCATTTTCCGCGGCGAGCATGGAAAAACCGCGCAGAGGTTCGGCCGTATCGCCAGCAAGCGATCTGATGGCCAGCATACGTGACGTGTAATTAAAATCGGATGCAAAATCATGGGAAACATTTAAATCTGTTTGCAATACCCCAAATAATGGCGCGGACACTCTCGACGTGCAAGCGCAAAACATTTGCGCTGCAATTTTTCTTTTCCCTCTTCCTCTCTCTTTCTCGCTTTTCTCTCTTTTTTTAAAACATTTTTCATAGACATATATTTTCGATTATATCGCGATACTATCTGTCCTGTCATTAGTATGTGCACCGTGATGCAACGGGTTATATAACACAACCGCGAAATTCAATCCATATTATTTTGGATTGAATCCAAAACAGCAGCGATTAAAAAAGTGTCATTCTGAACCTTTCCCTGTCTCTACCAGAATGCAAGTCGACACCGCATAATTGATCAGAGAGATAAATACTAATGCAACCGCGTCATTTTTCATGCAATACGGTATTAATGTGATAGCAGTGATAACAATGATAAATAGTATAACAACAATGGCTAACATTAACAGAATTATTTTTTAACACATTTTCGGTTTTATTATAATTAATTCATCGATTGACTCATGAAAATGATGGAGCAGTTTCTCGACAACATCCCGACGCTTCGTTTTCTTCTCATTTTTTTTTAACAATTCCTACAAATCGATACTTATGCAATATTCAACGGTGACTCCTGATCGCAAACACGATATGCATTCTTTGAGCTGAGCGAGGAAGAAAATCGAGTTCGAAGACAATTTTCGGATAAAAGGGGACTACCAATCTCGCATTGTGCCGACGGGCTGTTTGCAATCCGTTCCTGTTACGACCAGTAGCAGTAGCTTGCAAATCGCTGTACATACGCGTGCATGTCTATGTACGCCCGGCGTGTGCGCACGTTCGCCTGTGTACGGATTGATTGCACTTTACCTGTAAACTGATGTACCGAGATCCTCGCGATACCAGAGCACAAGATGCACGGAGTCCCCCTCGTGAGTGGTTGATATGTCGCAGGGAAGATAGGTGGAATCTCCGACCAGTGCCACGATGTGTGATATGGGTACTAAACACAGAAACAAGGAAATGGTTAAACGCAATTAACAGCGAAGGCGCATTTTCGAAAATACGATTAGGAAATATTATTTCCACGGAAAGGACAGTTTTGTTGAAATATCTAAAAATTGTACTAGATATTGATTTGAAGATAATTTTGTTGAAATATAATTATGTAGAACGCTTTTAAGCGTTAATGATAATGCTTCAAAAAGTTTTTAATATTCTCGGAATCAGTTTGTGAACATCCTACGCATAATTATTTTGATGGTCCAAACAAAATTATTTTCAGATTAATATTTAGTTAAATAGATACTTTGGTAAAATCGTTTTTTTTCGTGTAATTTTGAATATTAAAATCTTTTGTAGCATCGCGAAAGTTGTTTTCGTCAGTTGACGATTTCTAACATTTAGAAATACCAACAACGTCAATAACATTGTTCGTTGCATAGAAAGAATAGTTTTGCTGAAGTGTATAAAAATTTAATTAGGTAGAGATCTGAAAATAATTTTGTTGAATTTGAAATAATTATGTAGAAAACAGTTAAGCATTGTTGACAATACTTCAAAAAGTTTTAACATTCTAGCAATCAGTTTGAGTATCCTACATAATAATTATTTTTAATGGTGCACACAAAATTATTTTCAACTGTAACTCTATAGTTAAATTTTTAAATACTTCAAAAAAACCGTTCTTTTTAACTGTGCAACTTTGCGGCGAAAGTTGTTTTCTTCAGTAACGTGTCAAAAGTACCAACGACAATAACAATTTAAGTTGATTGATTAAGTTGATTGAAATATTTAATTAAAACTCTTAAGCAATCACAGATTTTTCCAAAAGTTGCTTCTCGAAATTGATTCGATTTTTGTAGGCGATTACGAGGTCATTATTTTATATCACGTGTATGCTATAAAAAATGTAGCTGGTGCGGTCAAGTGCGATATGTTTACATATTGATAAAAGTACAATTTGCTCGCACGGCATATAAATGAATTCATTCCAAATAATTTTTCACTTTATATACAATTACATATTGTATTTGTTTCATTTCTAAACGAGCTTTTCTATGCGATTATACAAATCGGTGAATCGTGAATGCCCATGTAATACGATAAGTATCAGCCTATTATTATTACCCGTTCACGCCAATATATGTGTAATATATTGCGCTTGATATTAGGATAAACACCTTCGTTAATTTGAATTAATTTATTTGCTATTTGAACAATAATGTTATATTTGTAAGAATAGGCGCATTGATACTGACATTTATATATGTGAGAGAACAAAATAAAACCGACGATATTAATTTTTTCGCATATTACGCAGTCACGCGGCTTTTATTCTCTCTCATTAAATGGTTTTACAGCAGCATATGTAATAACAGCTGTTATTGCACGCATTACGAGCCAGACATTTTACATCCGCTTCATGTGAAATAAAGACTGAGAGGCGCTTTTAGTTATACCTTCGATAAAACATTCCCGGGTGTATATTGTACGAAAACTTCGATGCATTCGCGCATAGATACGCCGCAATAAGGCCGTAAAAATTCAGTGTGCTACACGAAAATTCGGAACGTTGAGAGGAAGCATCACACCACATGAGTTGTTTGCATTACAAAGCGTGGTAAGTCTTTTATACAAAACAAAATAATCGCCATTTATCTATAACGTATTTTCTCTTTGCGCTTTTCTTCTTGTTCTTTCTTAACGTTTATGGATGCAACGGTGACGATGGAAAATCTCGGGCTATTCATGGAGCTATTTCAGGAAACGTCATCGCTGGAGTTCGTGCTCGCCTCGACATTTCGCTGCGTCGCGTCGCCGATGGACATTTCCTCTTTTCCTAACCATGATTGACGAGATATCCAGCGTTAAAAATATCGGCGGGCAAAGTTTTATCAGAATGCCTCTTATCGGAAATGAAATTTGCTTCAGACTTCTAAAGTGCAAAGCATTCGTTTGCGCGCGCCACCGGAGCAGTCCGGTATAAATAACATTTTTTACAATTACATTAGTCGCTCGATAAAAACGCCTCGGCTCTGCGTACACTTCTACGTCAGTCCTGAAAGCGTACACGCTGGTCTCCATTATTTTCTTATGTAACAGAAAAAATCCATCCATACACAATATTTGTGCTAGATCTCGGAAAAATGTATATAGCGATGCGTCTGACGTTTACAAGTTCGCAATATGCAGCTTCGCGTTTTTGATGCAGACATTTTATGATATGTAAATATTTCAAATATACGAATGTATTACATCGCAAGATGAATACCTTGATCTTGTTTGTATGTGTATATATAATACATTTTACTGTACGTATAATAATACTTGCATTATAAAAATAATTATAATTAATATTGAGTAGAAATTAGTCCAAAATAATAATTATTCTGTAATAATTGTATTTATATATAATATTTAAAAAGAGAATAATTTTCTGAATATAATTTTAGAGTTATTATATATAATTTTATCAAAATAATTGCATCGAATTTTAATAAAATTATAAATTCGGAAAAATGTTTTCTTTTTAAATATAACTACAATCATAATTCTTTCAATAATTATATAATATAATTATTTTAATAAAATCATGAATTTTTTAAATTATCTTTTTTCTCATTGCATTTACGCAAATTGAACTGGATGCATGCATTGCAATGATTACTAGTCAAACGAGTCTCTGTAATTATTTCCGTGAAGTCGAAAAATGGTCGCAAACGCAGAGTCTATTGAGAGGATTAACAGAGCAAATGTGAATTTGAGAAATCGATTTTGACAGCATGCGAAATACTCGTAAATTCGGAAAAAATTAGAGTACTGTGTTTTTTTGCAACTGATTGGATTAATGTTGTGTGGTCCACCATCGAGTTTCTTCGATTGCATATCACGAACATTTCCACGAATTTGTCTAAAAATTGGGACTTAAAAACCATAACGGAATTAGGAATCTCCGCTGAAACGCCGGTTCAGCATATTGCGTTTCCCGAGGCGATTTCTTCTTTTTTCTTGCTTTTTCATTCGCCTCTGCAATGCACCGAAGATCTTCGGTCGTGGACTAGGTCGCGCACTTTAACGGCAGATGATTTCATTGAGCCGACAGGCGCAGCAAGCAGTTTTGTTGCGCATGTTCGTTGTTCGATGCGCGTAATGGCTTCCGATGTCGCTGATGGTTAGGAATATTTCTCTCTTTTGCCAACCGACTCTGCTCCCTTGTCGTTTCCTCTCACCGGGACATCCGCGAGAATGCACTGTGTCGTCTCGTCTGGTATCTAATATAAGCTCTCACGCTCCGCTGGGATCTGAGACAACATATTTTCTGCACATCGAGAAAACGCGTGTTTTCGTCACACTTCCAGCAAAAGTTCATACCTTTCGAGTCACATGTACTTCATACCTTTCGAGTCTCATGTACTTTATACACGTCTTTCTTTTGCGTTATAAAAATAATTATTCTCTTATTTATGTACAATACATTGTTTGGCGCATCCTCTCCGAGGATTAATCCTAAAACACATCACTGGTCCCAGACCGAATCCAAATTTCGCTTGCTTTGTACACGAGGAAAGGAGAAAAAGGAAAGTTTTATTTTATAACTTTACAAAATGTATAAAACTTTCTGGCATTGCCTATGCAGATATATTTCTAAATCTCAGAGGTATATTCCTAAATCTTCAAAATACAAAAAGAGAGAATCTAAAAATATTAATCCAAAGTTATAGCCGAAGTTCTGTAGAACCAGATACCTATATGCAATATATAAATTTATACAGAAATATTGATTGAGCATCGCTTTAATGCGAGAACGTACGATTTCTCTTCTTTAATTAGATTTATTCTTATCGATCTAAATTTATATATATGTATATATATGTACTGTGTATTTTAACTTACGATATACGTCGTTTCTTAGAGCATTCTGTATCGAAGGGACGTACGACGCGACGCTCGCGTTTTCCTCGGTCTCGACCAATATTCGCACCCTTCGCCTTTGCTTTACCTCTCTTGCGTCTACCACGATCGTTATAGCGACGTTCGAAAACACGTCTTGACGTTTCGTGCCGTATCAACGACACATGTGCATTATATCGGCGACGTTGCAGGCGTCGCTTGCGTCATGCTGTTTGTCATATCGCGGGAAGCATGTACGCAAACGGCTGTCGTGCAGCAGCGGTAGCAGCCGGGAGCGCACCGTGCAGTCTGAATCGATAATATCAAAGGGAAGAGAGAGAGGTAGAGAGAGAACTGGTATAGGCTTCGGACTTTGCGGCCGCTCCGATTTGACCCACATAGAGTCACCTAACAGCGCAAATCGGTCTAAACTATAAGCACTTAAACCAAATATTTCGAGATATGCATGTATTGTACATATAAACGCATTTTTCAAAAACTGCAGCTCGCAATTTCAAGTCTTGCCTTGATCAGAAAAAAATCTAAGAACCTCCGATTCTTTATATTAATACGTTATAATAGATAGTATACATAGAGAATTGAGTATCAAAAAAATAAAAAGTTAATCAGTCGCTGTAATATATAAGTGTAAGATACAAGAGAATAAAAATACAATATATAAAAAATTAAACTACGATCATATCCTAAAAAATATACATATTAAATTTAATATGGATAATTAAATACCGTGCTAGTGTTTATATCATTCTCACCTGTTGGTATAAACACCAGTATGGATTTAATATCATGAGTATGAATTTAACATTGTGGACTTAACACCTTGGTTTAAATGATAAGTGTTGAATTTTTTATTTTGTAAAAAAAATAAGGTTACATAAGAACTATATATTATCGTATTTATCTTGATTGGTGCAGGAAAATTGTTAACAAATTAAAGTATATCAGTATTGCCGGAAGATTAAAATCATTTCGCGTTTTTACACTCAACTTAATTACATTTTAGAAATCACTTTTATAAATCTACACGGAAAGAACGGTTCTTTGCTGAAATATCTAAAAATTTAGCTAAATCTAAAAATAATTTTATTG